TAGTTTCATGTTTCTTATTTTGAAATTTTGTTAGGCAAACACTTAAATACAGTCAGACCCTAAATGCAACCCTCTAAATGCACGTACTATGATAAACCTCCCTAGATGCATGTCTTCTCTTGGGCCCAACTAATATTATGGCTATAGATTTTTATCTCCCTAAATGCAATATCTCTCTAAATGCATGTTTGGCTAATTCTTACATATGGTCCCGTCACATTGTATTTAGAGAAGTTTGACTGTAAGATTTATCTTTAAAATTGCATTCTAACACTTTTCATTCTTTGAGTTGTTTTTTTCGAAAAGCTCTCTAAAAAGTAAACTTATAAATCGCATATTCAAGTGATTTGCTATTTTATTATAAGTCTAGTTAGCAGCAAATCATGTTAATAAAAGAAATGAAAATATTATTTATTATCGGCTAAAAGTTTACCCTTTTACTAAATTTAAATAATATAAGGATTTTATAATATTTCTCAAGAAATAACTTCATGTTGAGTCGCTGATGGGTGTTGGTCTCTTATTAATTCCAAATGATAAAGCAATACCACCAAGTGTGCCAACAATTGCGCTGCAAATAGTACCCAAAACAACATATTCAACATCACTTGGGTACAAATTATTGGGCCTGATGCACAAGACGGTGATGAAGAATTGCAAGCTTTCGTTATTTTTGTCATTGCAATATTTTGACACTCGTTACTTACTGTAAGCGTAATTGGGGTTGGCGTTTCTGAGAAGTCTACACTAAGTGAGCTAACAGGAATTGTGTTATATTGAAAATTCCATTTACAGTCAAATACATAACAAGTTTGAAAATTTAGTGTCAATGTTCCCATTGTTACAGGGGAGTTGTGAAAGGTACCACAGCTTCTGTGATTGTAATAGTTGTATAAGGTATATTACCATTTGAATAATACGTAATAGAATAATAATGCAGTGCCTGTTGTCGTTTTTGTAAATATTTTGCAGTAACATTTTGAATGCTGATTGACATATTGCTTATACCTCCTTCAAAGGTTGCCAATTCTTCATAGAAAGCTTTTACTTCAATTTTATTCATTTAAATAAATAAAAGTATTAAACTTTAAACATCTTATTTAAATTAAAATAGTGACCCATTTCAAATAATGATTCCAAATGAGCTTTAGAGGTGTAAGCTAAAAAAATAAAAAAAAAGCAAAAAAAAATTCGTGTACCTTATCAGGTTTGAATTTATTAATTTACGCAAGTGATACTTATAAATCTTTTATTGTGACAAGGATACATATGTTACAGGCAGAACTCTCGTATTACTTTTACATGACAATTTAATAATAATATGGTAATTTGGCGTTATTCGTACCGCCCCTGCAAAGATATCTCGACAACCATCAAGCCAACTTTGATAAACTTTTTTTATTATTTGGATTCCATAAGCTTGTAGAATTCGAATAAAAAAAGGGCCGTCGAATCTGGCTTGGTGATTATCGAGATATCTTTGCTCAAAGATTGAGAAAGTTTTGGCGCGGCTTTATTTTGATAAGCATTTTGAGTTTTTTTAAAAAAACTTTGAGCAAAGATATCTCGTCAACCACCTAGTCAAATTTGATAAACTTTTTTTTATTTGCATTCTAGATGCTTAGAATTCAAATAAAAAGAAATTGATCGAATTTGACTTGGTGGTTGTCGAGATATCTTTGCTTAAAGTTTGAGAAGAATTTTGGCGCAACTTTATTTTGACACTTTCTAAATGCAATACGATGGGACCATATGTAAAAATTTAGCCAAGCGTGCACTTAGAGAGGTATTGCATTTGGGGAGGTAAAAATCTATAGGCGTAATATTAGTTAGACCAGGAGAAGACGTGCATTTAGGGAGGCACAGATTTGTGCATAGATCGGCAAAATCGATAAATTCGAATCGGCCAGGGCGGCTCCCCAAAGTGCAGTTACACAAGGCTATATAATATAAAATTACAATTGTCAGGTTATTGATATCAATACTGTAGTTATCTAAAATTTTGCAAGACTATAATATGCCTAGTAACCAAGGAAATAAATTGTTAGGATAAAAATAAAGGTTATATTCAGAGTTAGAGTTAGGATTAGGGTTGGGATAGGGTAAAATTACGAGAGGAACATTTTTTATTAGTTACACAACAGAGTTACCCTAGTAAAATTTGAGATATTGACTAATTCTTTTTTAAAATTTATACATAAATTTATTTAGTTATACAGTATAATTTTTTTTAAAAATCATATTTAGATAAGTTTAAATAAATTTTACATAAATTCTATATTAAATAATATATAAAAATTAACATTATAATTTTTATATAGTATTATATAATAACTATATAAAGTTGTATATCTATGTAGATTTTATAAAAAAACAACTTCATGATGCTAAGCCAAAAAAAAACAGAGTCGTTCTGATTGGTTAATTTTAAAATCTCTTTTTGTATTATGAATTTGCAACAAAATCATTAGAATACACACTTTAATTAATTGCACTGACTGAGTGTCGATTGCTAACAAATTGCATTAAGTGGGCTGCTTGAGAATATTCTAAAGATATTTGTTTAAATATTTGTCAGATACATATTTTAAGATTAACCATAAAAATAAATTTTTTTTAAAAAAAAATCAGATTAAAAAAAAATGTTAAATATTCAGAAAAGAGTCATGTAAATTTAAATCTATCCCTGATTAAAAATTGCATTTTTACTACTAGGTTAATAGAAACCACTAAAAGTTCAAAATACAGTTCATGATTGCGATATAGAAAATGAACTATATTCTGAACAACCGATCAGAATCATTTGCGACATCTAATAATCCTAGTACGTACGTACATATTTGCTAATTTTGCTTTTTGACCCTTTTTTCAAACATACTTTCTTATCATACGGTCATAAATACCCACTTTTAAATGGTTCTACTCTGGATTCAAAATCTCGACAGGCTATAATCTCAACAAGCATAATCCCGAAATAGACAAGGCAAAATTTAGAAAATGACAGAATCTCGACAGTGACAAAATCCTGACGTCCAAAATCCCGAATGGATAAATCTCTAAATTACATATCAAATTAGGTTTTGATCATTTGAGATTTTGAATATCGGGATTTTAAACTGTCGGGATTCCGTCTTAGTCAAGATTTTGGCTTTTCAGTA